AAAGGGAAGGGGACGAGGAGCTCTCTGTGTACGCTGACACTGGTCTGCAGGAAGCTGTGCAGTGTATGACGCTAGCTAGCCCTTCCTGCAGCTGCCAAACCTTCAGAAAAGTTTACCAAACTCATACATGCTTCCTGTGAGAGGAGTGCACGTGTATGTGTGTGTGTGTCACGCAGAAGTGGGGAACAAGCTTGCTTTCACGTTGGGGTCAGCACGGGGTAGGTAAGAACAGCACAAACAAAAAGTTAAGAGACTTAGAGGCTGAGGAAAGTTAGCCTCTTGGGCTTAGCAGAAATAGCACAGGTGCATGTGGATTTCCGTGGGCCAGGGAAGTATCTGAAGGTGGCTGACATTTTTGCACCGGGGTCTCCCGGGGGCAGGGGACCACGACTGACATTTGGGTTACGTGACCTGAGAACAAGTACTCATGCAAAGAGTCAGGGGACCCTCAGAGCCGGGATGAGAACAAACCACTGTCTGGAGACAGTGCAGACTCGCTGGCTAAAGCAAAGAACACGGACGGGCTGCAGACTGCTCTGGGGCAGGAATCCAGAGACAGGATGGTCTATAGCGTGGGGAGGAGAAGAGAGGCAGAGGGGGAGCCTCGTCATGACACTGGTTTCCTTGGTTCATCTCCCCTCACTAGAGCCTCTGCTTCTCGAAACAGGTGCTGGGTCACACTTATCTCTCTGTTCTCAGGGCCTATTATGTGCCTGTCAGCAACAAGGCACTAATAAATGTTTGTTGAATAAACAAATTAATAGAAATGTTTTTGCATATAAAACATGATATGTTGCTTAAAAATTCAATTTGTGCTCAGCTTTGCAGACGCACATCAATAGTTGGTTATTTTAATTACGTTCAGCTTTTCCTGTGCAACATTTATGAAGTGGACTGTGGCAGTAATATAACTAAACTAATCAGTGTAGAAAGCTAAATAGGATTATCCAAGGTCGATTTTGACCCTCAATTATATGATATGGCGACCAATATTTGGGACAGATTAAGAGGCAGTGTGGTCCAGGGGGATGATCAACTCCCTTGGACAAACCTTCAAGGTTTGAATCCTTGCTCTGTCCCTCACCATCTGTGTGAATTTGGGCAAGAATCAAATTCTTCCTCTGCCATACGAGGGAAATAATATTTACTTTCTAGGACGTGCCACTTATGGGTGATGGCATGAGGATGTAAGTGGAATATTCAGTAGAATTACTTTAATTTCAGGTACTGCTATTCTTGAATGCAAACCTTTAATCACGGTGAACCTGAGGTGGAGACAGGTAAGTTGCTTCAGGCATCAGCTCCCAGCTCAGGATCCAAGTACCATGAATGACAGAACACCTGACTCTGCCTGGCTTTAATCCAAAGCCTGTGACCCAGCATTCATTGAGATTCAATATGAAATCTGATCCCAAGCACTGAAACAATATTTAATATCAGCCCATCGTGCCACTGAGTTCTGCTGTAATCTGTTTCCAGATTTGCTGAAGTTTTCTCTTCGATTTTATTAGCAACTATTTCAAATGAAATTGGCACCAGACAATTGGATTACTGAATTGTTGACTCTTATATCCTACTAGACAGTGAAAAGCAAATGTAATTTTCACCAGTTACATGTCAAGCCTTGGCCTAGAGAGACATAGTGGGAAAGGATCTGAATGGATGAGAAACCCGGATGCGGGCTCTTTCTCTGAGCATTGCTTATGTTCGTAAAACAGGACTCGAAAGGGTTAAGGAATCAGCTCCTTATTGCTTCCACAGTACATATTCATATTCATCAAACTTTGTTCCTTTAAGACAACATTTTAGCACGCCTTATCCTCCAAGTAATTCTTCAAGGAAAAATAGATCAGATGAAGGGCATGGACGTTAGGGCCAGAGAGAACCAGATTTAATTCTTATTCCAGCATGATGGTGTTTCGTCTGGAGACAGAAATTATAAGACCTCCTGGCAAACTTGTTAAAAAATTAAAAGAAATGGTCATATACAGGAATGGGCCAATCATTCCCGATTCTCCCCTCTTTTTACAGATGGCAGCTCATCTATTCATTCATCTATCCGGCAGGTAATATTTTTGTCAGATCCTAAGGGGGCAGAATGTATTATTATTGTCAATTATTTGCTCTTTTGCCTTTGTCTGGGTCTTTGAATGTGAAAACACATGGGACAGACCTGAATTCAATCTGCAGCATTGAATAAAACAATGTAACTCACCGAGGTTTGGCCGGTGTTTGTTAACACGTTAAATGCTGACTAATACACTACGTGCTTAGGGTAAAAGACTGAACAAGACAGACCCTGTTTCCAACTCATGGAGGTTATAATCTAAGGAGGAAGCTATTAAACAGTAGTTATATGTGGACCTAGAGTCTGTCATACAGAGTGTCAGAAAGAGAAAAACAAATACTGTAGGCTAACGCATATACACGGAATCTAAAAAAAAAAAAAGGTACCGATGAACATACTTGCAGGGAGGGAATAAAGAGGCAGACATAGAGAATGGACGTGAGGACATGGGGTGGGAGGGCGAAGCTGGGGCGAAGTGAGAGTAGCATCAACATATATACAGTACCGAATGTAAAACAGTTGGCTGGTGGGAAGCAGCCGCACAGCACAGGGAGATCGGCTTGGTGCTTTGTGATGACCCAGAGGGGTGGGATGGGGGGGTGGGAGGGAGTCTCAAGAGGGAGGGGATATGGGGACATGTGTAGGCATATGGCTGATCTGCTTGGCTGTGCAACAGAAGCTAACAAAGTATTGTGAAGCAATTATACTCCAATAAAGATCTATTTAAAAAAAAGTAGTTATAATAAATTGTGCATAGTGATCCATGGTGGACAAGGGAGGGGCTATGGGAACGTGCAGCCGGAGACCACATCCTATTTATGGGGTCAGTGGCCACAGATCAGGCTACAGGCCTGGGCAGTTTCTTGGCTTTTTTAAGAGCTGGGGTGTGGATCTCATGGAAGGTAAAAGAATGGCATCTCAAAGATGCACATGTCCTAATCCCCCAGAATCTGTGGATACAGATGTGATACAGCAAGAGGCTGTTAAGACGGCATTAAGATCGCTAATCAGCACACTTTAAAATAAGGAAATTATCCTGGACTGTGTGGGTGCGCCCAGTGCAATCACAAGGGTCCTTTAAAGTGGAGAAGCAAGGCTCAAGGGTGATCCTCAGGGTCAGGGAGGGACTGGGAGCTGCTACTTGCTGGATCTGAAGATGAGGGAAGCAGCTCCAAGCCAAGGAATGCAGAAGCCTCTAGAAACTGGAAAGGCAAGCAAACGGCGGATTCTCCCTCAGAGCTTCTAGAAGGAACGCAGACTTGCCAACAGTGAGACCTATTTCAGACTTCCAACCCTCCGGAATTGTAAGATAATAAATTTGTGTTGCTTTAAGCCAATACGTTTGTGGTCATTTGTTCAAGCAACCACAGGAAACCAATACAGATCCAACTCTGTCTCCAGAGCCTTTGGTTCCTGGGGTATTAACTTCCTGTCTCCTATCCCGTGTGCTCTGAGCCCCTCTAATCATTTTAACTCGCTTCAACACCAACCCCAGAGGCATCGGGGGAGCCACAGGGGGTCGAACCCATCAGCCCAGTGTCCGGTTTCTGGTAGCGTGGCCAGGGTAGAGGGCCACTGGGCATGGGAGGTGCAAGGGGCACTTGAGGGTCACCCAGTCCATCCCCTCATTTGACAGCTGGGTGACTAAGGTTCAAAGATGGGGAGAAACTTGCCTAAAGTTCAGAGCCAGAGGGAAGCTGGACTTCCAGGATGAGATGCTTCCCTCATAAACACAAGGCAAACCACATTCCTTCCCCAGGAGCTCACCAGTCATGGTGCCACATGACAGTCACTATGACATGGCGGTCATCATGAAGAAGATGGAAGGTCTGGGGGAGGGGGAGAGTAGGGGGAGGTTTCAGACACTGCCTTCATCTGTCTGAAGGGCTGCATGAGGAGGATAAATTCCTTCGGAGCCTGGGAAAGATGGGGTGTGTGAAGGAGTTGCAGCAGAGATGTGATGCGCTGGATTCCACCGTCTTGCACTGGCCCCAGCGGCAGCATCCTTGCACCGGCTGGTACCAAGGTCCCTTCCAACCCTGAGCTCCCTGTCCGGGCAAACAGCGGTGCAGGAAGGCTGTGCTCCCCGACAGCACCTGTAAAGCTCAGGGTGGGCTCTTCCCTACCTCTCCCCACCCTCCCTTTTGCCAAAACCAGCAGGAGCAGCTTTCGACTCTGTGCTTTGTCATCCCACTCTCTGTGCCTCTTCCCGCTCCGTTCCAGGCCGCTGGGAGATATATTTGTCTGACTTCAAAATGCCCCTAACAGCCAGTGGCTGTCGGGTGAAGGCACCACGCCAGGGCTGAGCTCATTTGCGAGCAGCCCTCTCTGAGGTTCAGACCTGGCTCGCCCAGCGCCGGCCAGAGCCTCCTGCGGCTGCCCGGCTGCCTGCTGCACCCGCCTCGCCCCTGCTGCCTGCCAGCCCCACCTTTCTCTTCTGTAGAAGAAAGACTCCCAGTGGCCCCATTACTGTGAGGCCGGGACAAACTCAGGTATCATCGTACCTGGGCTCCAAAGGATCATCTCCGAGCCCCGGAAAAGCCTCAAAGCCGCTTCTGAGACCTCTGTGATGTTTCTGCCAGGGGGCAGGCAGCGTTAGGGCCCGGAGAGTTTAATCCCGAGGTTCAATTAGCGTACCCACCACCCTTCCCGGGCACCACCCCCAGCCTAATCTCCCTTTCCCCCAAATACCAGTAACACATTTAAGGTGTTTTCACTTACCTCTGGAAAACAACATTATGGCCTTATTATCCTACTTTTCTGTAAGAGAACTGCGTCCGGGCAGGGCGTGAAGGCGGAGTGCTGACGGGGAGGGAGGGGGTGATGACGGCACATTCACTGCTCCCCGGGGGGCCACAGCAGATTTCCATAAAGCAGCGCCCCCGTTCTCACCCTCCCATTGAGGATCCAACTTGGAAAGAAGGTCACTCACCCTGGTTTAGATTTCACTGTGTCTGTTTGCTGTCTTACATTCGGGGCCTTTCCTGATGTGTAATTTTCCTTCTTCTCTTTCTATGTCACCTGCATGAGAGAAAGGAAGACAGAGGCAGAAGGAGGTCACAGCAAGACCCTCGTTCCTTCTTATTCCTAAACAAAGTCTCTGGTGGGAAGGGAGAGCTTTTCAGATTTATCAGTTGCAGCTGAAAAAAAAAGTCCTGATGGGTAGGGAGGGATGTGAATATGGTTCAGGAGCAAAAAAGAAAAAAAAGGATTTCATTTTTCAGATATTTTGAGTAAAAAAAAAAAAATCAAACCGGGATTCTTGAAGGTTCATGTAAGACAGGATGAGGGGGCTGAGGAAGTCACCTGAGACCTCGATATTTTACATTTTATTTAGACTTGACATTTTTTTGTAGGACATTGTTCTTCTCAAGAACAGTTATAATGTAAATAGCCATCTTTTCTACATCATTAAGATCACACTGGGATGTGAGGGTTTCCATCCTCACCTAAGGCCTCAGTTTATACTGTTTCTTTAGTCTTACAGGGAAGACGGAGGTACAGAGGCTCCGCTGAGTGCCTTTGTACTGGGAATACTGGGTCACATGTCCTCAAGAACTCTCCACTTTCTAAATGAGGAAAGTGAGGCTCAGAGAGTTTAAATACCTTGCCTGGGTCTGCACGGTGAATGAGTGAATGAAGGAATGAATGAATGAAGTGTATCCAGGAGCAGTCTGAGTGTGCCAGGCGGTGCTTCCCCACCACTCACAGCTGCCCCGACACTGACGAGGCCCTGGCACCTCGAAGCCTCCCCTGCAGCTCCAGATTCACTTCTCTGACCGCCTTGTTCAGGACACTAACCCCAAGCAAGAGTTTACAAGTAAATTCTTGATTCTCTCGCCCCATCCATCCTCCAAGTCCAAAACTAGATCCCCCCAACAGTGCTACGGTTATGTACTGCTGTGTAACAAACCACCCCGAAACTTGGTGCCTTAAAACAACTATCATTTTATTATATCTTATAAATGTTTGGCTCAGGAATTTGGGCAGGACTCAGCTGAGTGATTCTTCTCTTCCATGTGGCTTTGACAGAGGTCACTAGGGGATTTTCAGTTGGCAGATGGGCTGTTCTGGAGGGTCCACTCACACGTCCAGTGCTCGATGGGCATAGTGGGAAGGCTGGATTTAACTGGACTTTCAACTGAAGACTCCATATATGGCCTATGGAGCCAGCCGGGTGGTCTTAGGTAGTCAAACTTCTTACATGGCTGAAACTGTGTACTTCCTACATGCAAAACGTGGAGTCTAATTACCTCTCCTTGAATATAGGCTGGTCTTAGTGCCTTGCTTCTAGTGAACAGAAGTGATGCTGTGTGACATTCAGGGATAGGTTAGAAAAGGTGATAAAGTTTCCACCTTGCTCACTGTCTTAGGAAGGGCCTTGCAGTACTGGGCTGATACATACAGGCTAGGCAACCTGGAAGCTGCCATGCTGGAGGGAACAGGTGGAGAGACTACACAGAGTTACAGATGCCCAAAGGGCCCAGGCTGCTCTTGTCCCCAGCTGTTCAAGTTTTCCCAGCTCAGGCACCAGCACTATGAGTGAGAGATCCTTCAGATCACTCCAGCCCCCAGCCTTCAAGCCACCAGCATGGCTGAGTGGAGACAAGCATTCTTCACTGTGTCCTGTATGAATTTCTGACCTTCAGAATCCGTGAGCATAGTATGTGGTTGCTTGACACCATGAAAATTTTGTGTAATTTGTTTTACAGCCAAAATAAGTGGGACAGTGACAACCTAGGGACCCGAGAGTGTGCATATGCTCCAGTTAAGAAGAGGGACACTTCCTGGTCTTTTATGACCCGATCTTGGACATCATAGTCACTTCTGCCATACTCTATTGGTCAATGCAGTCACCAGATTCGAGGGGAGAGGAGCCAGGACCTACCTCTTGATGGCAGGGAGGTAACAATTTGCTGCAAGATTTTTAATATCTCCACAGCCAGTGTTCACCATCTCAATAAATGACAGCCGCTTCTACCCAGCAGTTTAAGCCAAAAACTTGGCCATCATTCTGCATCTCTCCTTCTCCCTTACCTCACACCCAATTCACCAGCAATGGGCAAATCTGGCTGAGTTTCCCTCCACAATATTTGTGAATTCATCCATGTCTCTCCCTCTCTCCTGCTGCCCTAGTCAAAGCCACCATCATCTCTTGCATGGGGTATGTCCGGAGCTTCCCAACAGACCCTCTGCTCAAAGTTCCTCTGTAATACTATCCATGCATCACCAGAGGGATCTTTTAAAAATATACAAATTGGGGCTTCCCTGGTGGCGCAGTGGTTGAGAGTCTTCCTGCCGGTGCGGGGGACACGGGTTCGTGCCCCGGTCCGGGAGGATCCCACATGCCGCGGAGTGGCTGGGCCCGTGAGCCATGGCCACTGAGCCTGCGCGTCCGGAGCCTGTGCTCTGCAACGGGAGAGGCCACGGC